ATACCCAAGTCTCTGAGGTGGCTTGATGACTCTCCTCGGCCTTTCTCTTGCTAGCAGGTAGTCATTATCAGTCTCCTCATCTTCGACAATATCTTTTGCGTCGTCTTCGACTTCATTTGGGGTAAGCAATTCAGCATCAACATGCTCCACCTCAACAGGAATCTCTCCCTGTTCCAGCTCTTCGTCAGCATCATCAATTTTCTTGAAAGCCATCTCTGCTTCATTGAAAGTTACATCTCGAATGGTGATACACCTCCTGTGACCTGGCTCTAAGCACCATAGCCTATAAGCTTTGACTCCTTCAGGATATCCCATGAACATGCATTTCAGAGCTCTAGGTTCGACTTTGTCTTGCCTAATATAAGCATAGGCAACACAACCAAATACTCTCAGTCTTTCGAGACTAGGTGGATGTCCCGACCAAACTTCTTCAGGTGTCTTCATTCCCAAGGCATTCGAGGGACATCTATTTATCAGGTAAGCTGCTGTCGAAACAGCTTCCGCCCAAAACACCTTCTTCAATCCAGCACTAACCAACATGCATCTAACCCTTTCAAGGATTTTTCGATTGAATATCTCAGCTAAGCCATTTTGTTGAGGAGTACCTGCTACAGTCTTATGCCTTGCAATCCCTGACTCAACACAGTAACTTTTGAACGCTTCGTTGCAGAATTCAAGGCCATTGTCGGTTCTCAACCTCTTAACCTTTCTTCCAGTTTGAGTTTCGACCAGAATCTTCCAACTTTTGAAATTCTCAAAGTTTCATCCTTCGTCTTCTGAATGAATACCCATAGCTTTCTGAGTGTGAAAGATTCCTTGCAGGCCCCAAAGATCAGCATGAATGTAATCCAGGGATCCATGTGTTCTTTGCTTGCCTTTGTTAAACTTCGCCCTACAGGATTTACTAAAGACACAAGATTCACAAAATTCCATCTTTTCAACTTTGTCACCACCTAGCAGGTTCTACTTCCCCAATTCGACCAGGCCTCTTTCGCTGACATGGCCCAATCTCATGTGCCATAATTCTGTCTTCGACATAAGTTTCATGGATGCAACATTTGTCGAACCACTTACAACCTCAGCCTCAAGGGTATACAAGCCTTGTTTCTTAATGTCTCTCAAGACTTCCTTCGACCCCTTCATGACTCTTAAGATACTTTTCTCTCCTTGAAAAACGTATCCTTTTTTGTCGAATTCACTAAGAGAAATCAAATTTATCTTCAAGTCAAGTACGTACCTGACTTCAGTCAATAACCTTATTGACTCATCATGGAGCTTGAATCTCACAGATCCAATACCTGCAATTTTGCAAGATTTGTTGTTTCCTAGCAGCACAGATCCACCATCTTGATCATATAGCTCCTTGACAATTCTCTGTTTGGAGTCATGTGTCAAGTGCAACCTGAATCCATAATCCACTCTTTCCTCGAGTCGCCACTTGAAACCACAAGAAAATCAGATGAGTCGAAGTCATCTTGAACAATGGCTGCATTTCCATTACCTACATGATCTTTCAAGCGTTCAGGGCATACCTTTCTTATGTGACCCTCCTTCTTACAGTGATAACATCGAATACTAGATGTTTCGCCACTATAAGACTTCTGTTAACTTTTACCTTTCTTCTTGTCGAACTTACCATCCTTTCGCAAGAATTTTCCCTTAACGGCCAAACCTTCACCCACCGTCGAAGGTTTATGCTCCTTTCGTTTGTTCAAGTCCTTAGAATACATGGCTGATTGAACTTCTTCAAAGGCCAAAGACTCCCTTCCATACAAGAGAGTTTCTTTGAAGTGAGCATGTGATCTGGGCAAAGCACACAACAACAACAATGCTTGATCTTCATCGTCGATCTTCACATCAATATTTTCAAGATCAAGAATCATCTTGTTGAACATATCCAACTGCTCAGCCAACACTTTGTCTTCACTCATCTTGAATGAATATAAAGCTTGCTTCAGGTAGATTCAATTCACCAGAGATTTGGTCATATGTGTACAAACTTTCAAGTTTCACCCATAATCTCGATGCTGTAGTCTCCTTTGATACCTGTCGAAGAACCTTATCACCAAGGCTCAACAACATTGCGTTGTGGGCTTTCTTGATCATGCCTGTCTTTTCTTTTGCAGTTAATGCAGCGTCCATGGCTGACTCACCCTTCAATGCTTCCAAACAACCCTGCTGAACCAATAGGGCTTTCATCTTCAAGCGCCACAAACCGAATTCGTTCACTCCGGTGAAATTTTCAATCTCATACTTTGTTGAAGGCATCTTCTCTATGCTCACCGCACCAATTTGTTGTGAATCGGATACCTTAAAACTAAGTATAAACAGTTTCTTAATGATCAAGAAACACACAAGGGTTAGGGTTAGTAAAGAAGAAAACAATAAGGATTGGTTATTAAACTGCTATTCTTTCATTTCTCTTAGAACAAGATTACAAGTATACAAGAATAACAAAATAACCTCTCTCTCTTGAAATTAGGATTTTATCTTTCTATTTTTCCTTATACCAAGATTGAGAAACTAGTATCCTATTTATAATAAAAATAGCACACTAACCTAATGGGCTTTTTAACAATTACCCATTACAAGCTAAGTTAGGGTACAAGCTAACTTAAATAATTGGGCTTACAAGTAAGACCCAATTCAACATGCTAACAACCCTAGCAATATTGACTAATGCATGTTAGAGCAAACTTCGAATACAACACGCATTACTCGCGAATAGACTTCGACTATACTAGAGTTCGATCCAACATCTCACAACGTGGAATTCTAATCGATAAGCGGAAAGAAATGTTACATCTCATTGTTCCAAACTATCCCTTTTTATAATGGTAACATATTTATTTATCACTTTTGAGTATTTTTTTTATCTTTAACGAATGAAATATTTGCGTAATTTATTTTATTTTATTTTTGCAGGTTTTGTGGAATGCTTAAAGAAGAGAGTCATTATCTATTACGGATCAATATTTGTCTTTTTTTATTAGCAAGACTTGATATCATTATCTACTATAGACATATATTTATCATTTAGTTTTAGCAAAATTTGATTTTGTTTATGAATTACTATGAATACCCAGTATGGTGTTGATCAAAACTTGTGCAATTGGTCTTTGCAATTTCAAGTTATAATAACCATGTTTCATTTATGAACATTTTAATTTATTATTATATGTTTTAATTTCTTTCAAGTGTTAAGTTGATATTTTTATATGATCACTTATATATTATTTTAGTGTGAGAATGTTGGATCTATAAATATTGTAGCAAAGGGTAAAAATAGAATAAAAAAGTTATAATGCTTTCCGCTCTGTCCAATTCTCAAATAGTGGAATGAGATATTAGTTGCGCTCCGTTGTAAAATACCCAAACATTGGAATGGAATTTATATTTTGTTCCGTCCCATTCCACTCCATCCTATTCCGTTCTGTTCCGCTCCGTTATTTTTAAATTATCCAAACATAGCCTTAATCATGTAATCACTTCTCCATACAACCGGAATACTATTCCAAACATCTTCCTCGAATCCGATAAAGTCGTTGTGGTCGAACCAACAATCAAAGACCCTAAATGGTTTAAGACCTCAATCTTCTTTATTAATCACTATCTAGAATGGACAATGATCTGATACCTCCCTTTTCCCTATCGATTGACCCACAACATTTCATCTATCAATCAAACTATCAGACACCGAAAATCGATCAAGGCGGCTCATAGACTATCTCCACTATACCTAGAAAAAGATATTCTCTTATAAGGCAAATCTACCAAATTAGCCTCCTAAATGAAATCTGAAAATAGGCTCATCACAGAAGACCTATTCACAAGGGCACTCCCTTTCCTTTCCTTCCCTTTCCTTTCCTTGTTGCTAACAACTGAGTTAAAGTCCCCTCCCATAGACCATTCCCCATGCCCATATTACCTCTTCAACTCAATAATTTCCTTCCACAAAGTTCTCTTCTTAATGAAACAACAAGATGAGTAAACATTCAAAAAGTATTAATACTTGCACCTCCATTGAACTTTCAGACCCAAATAACCATCGCCTTTGAAAGAAAAGATTGGATAAAAATTACTTCCTTCCAAAGCGTTAATAGATCTCCATAAAAACTCAATGATTCTAAATACGATCACCCCACCTTGTGTTGAGGCCAAAAACTCTTAGCTAAAACTCCCTCAATATGTTTCAATTTTTGTTCCTTGGACAAAGAAAATGTTCGCCTTGCCTGCCTCTAAACCAACTCCAATTCTAAGTCTCTTGACAATGCTACCTCCCCCTCTTATATTCAGAGACCCTACTATCATTAACCCCAATTTTTCGAGACCTTCAAAACTACCTACTTTTTTTTATCATTGACTTCCATCTCATTAATCTTCTTATTGTAATCCCTACCCTTCTCCTTTGTAACCACTCCCAATTTAAAAAATGCTCTCCATACTTTGTCCCCAAAAATTGTTGGATAAAAACCTTAATTTCAAAGGGAAAAAAGGTGACTTTTATAAAGAAGTATAATTTTATTATACAACAGAATTGAAGAATGCAATATAGAGGAATTGAATGGAGATTGTTGACACAAAAACAATGATTTTATTTAACATTGCTTAAACGAAAGGGATAACATTACTAACACGATACAACTTAATAAAATTGAATGAATAATATGATCTCAAACTAATTATAAGAGACTAAAAATGTGTTTTTGCCTTTAATTTCTTTTGCCATTTTAAATGTTACTATTCACTATAATCTTTTAAAGCTTATCTTTATAATAAAACATTAAGAAAAGTTATTAAGTAGTTGATCCCACTTAATTGGATAGGTCATTGGTGTCGTTATATCTTTATAATAAAAATCAGAATTTTATCTTTTTTCCTTTAACATTTAAAAAAACTTATCAAATCAACTTTTCTTTTTAAAAGCAAAGTTAATTTCTTTTTATAAAGTTGAATAAATGTGCACTTATAATTGTAACCCAAGGGTCACATTCTTCCATATGATAAATAGTACTCATGGGATGGGAGGACCTTATGATACACATCTTGTTAATCATTTTACTTCTCATTTTAATATGTTATCTCTAAGGATGTTCCTTCTTTTTCTTCTCACATACATTCAAATTCATTATGCATATTCCATTGATCGCAAGGCAAATAGACCTATCCATTTATAAATTTATATCAAACATTATTTTTATTTTTTTACGTAAAATTTAACAGTCATTTCTTTTTCTGAATGCAGACTTACATTGTCTACATGGGTGATCATCCCAAGGGCATTGATCCAGCCACTTTACCTTCTCTTCACACAACAATGGCTCAAAATGTCCTTGGCAGGTTCAATACTAGCAATTAACTCTAACAAGTAGTGCAACAATATAACTACATATTTTATTTTGCTTTGCTTTCCTTTTATTAGAAAAATAAATTTAATATTATCAAAATTTGGATCTTTCCAGTGACTTTGAATCAGGAGCTGTACTTCATAGCTACAAGAAGAGCTTCAATGGATTCGTGGTAAAGTTGACACGAGATGAAGCAAAAACATTGGCCGGTACTGTTACTCAATTTATATAAACAAAATTTATTTAACCATTTTAATTTTTCTAGAGCCAATATAGTTATGTTCGTATTATAAATTAAACAGAAATTTATGTACTTTATGAATTGCAATAGAAATGGACGAAGTGGTGTCTGTTTTTCCAAACACAAAGCATTATCTTTGCACAACAAAATCGTGGGACTTCGTAGGTCTTCCACAAAATAGCAAAAGATTGAGTTTGGAGAGTGACATGATTGTTGGACTATTGGATACAGGCATTTGGCCAGAGTCAAAGAGTTTCACTGATGAAGGATTTGGTCCACCACCTAAAAAATGGAAGGGATCATGCCACAATTTCACATGCAACAAGTAATTAATCCACTCTTTATGTGTCATGATTTCAAAAATTATTAAAAATATAAATAGATTATTCACAATTTATGTGCAGTAAAATAATTGGTGCACGATACTCTAATATACAAGGTTCCTATAGTGGAAAAGACATCAAAGATCCAACAGATGTAAATGGGCACGGAACACACTGTGCATCCACATTAGCCGGTAACATGGTTAATTCTGTAGATGTAGAAGGGTATGCCTCAGGTACAGCTCGTGGAGGAGTCCCCTCCGCACGTATTGCTGTCTACAAAGTATGTTGGGGGAAAACAGGTGTTTGCAATGGTGCTGATATCCTTGCAGCGTTTGATGAAGCAATCGCTGATGGCGTTGATATTCTCTCTATTTCTATTGGAATTGATCAAGTGCATCCATATTTTGAAGATCCGATCAGCATTGGCAGTTTTCATGCAATGAAAAGAGGTATATTTACAGCCAATGCTGCTGGTAATAATGGCCCTGATCTTTTCACCATGACAAATTTGGCACCTTGGTTACTTTCTGTTGCTGCTAGTACTTTTGGTAGAAAGTTTGTTACAAAGGTGAAATTGGGAAATGGTGCCATTTATGAGGGATCCACAATTAACACATTTGATCTCAAAAACAAAATGTTTCCAATAATTTTTGCAAGAGATATACCTAATACTGTGGGTGGATTTAACAGTTCAGAATCAAGGTATCATCAATACATGAATTTTTATGTTTTTTTTAGATGAATTTTTTGTTAGATTTTAATTTTATATAAATATAATTTCCCAGACATTGCTTCAAGGATTCTGTAGATATGCACGCAGTAAAGGGGAAGATAGTTTTATGCGAGTGGGTTAAAGATTCTTCAGATGTGGAATTTTTCTCAGGAGCTGTTGGTGTAATATTTGGATTTGTTTATACACAAGATTTTGCATCTATATATGCCTTGCCAACCACGTTACTCGGTCTATGGGATTTTAGAGAAATACAGTACTACATAAAATCAACAAAGTATATATTTTGTTTTTAATTGAAACCAGAAAATTTGTTATAAACAATCTTCTTCATTAATAAGTTATTCTACCTATTATCAGAAATCCAATTGCCACAATATTTAAGAGTGAAGAAGTTGAAGATTCATTGTCCCCTTATGTAGCTTCGTTTTCATCAAGAGGTCCAAACCCGATAACACCAAATATTCTCAAGGTATCACAAAATTAAAGATATATACTAGTTTATGAATCATGTCAATTTTTCCTCTTCAACATGTAAAATACTTACTATCTACAATTTATTTCATGATGTTTTAGCCTGATATAGCTGCACCGGGAGTTAATGTTATAGCTGCATGGACTCCACTCGACCCGATTTCTGAAGTTGAAGATGACAAAAGAATATTACCATACAATGTTATCTCTGGAACTTCAATGGCATGTCCTCATGCAGCCGGAGCAGCTGCATACATTAAATCATTTCACCCCAATTGGTCTCCGGCCATGATCAAGTCTGCATTGATGACCACTGGTATGACTATTGACTCAACTCAATTGAGACAATTTTACATCTATTCTCATTGTTAAATCTTGTGAATGGATGTGAAATTTTTTTGAGTATATTTTCGTGTTCGAGTCCAAGTCTTCACACTTCCTCTTACGCGTGTATGTTTATTTGAGTGTTTCTTGGCCAAAAAGCAATAAAAATTGACCAACTAAAATGAATTAAATTGATAAGGTTTTCAATTTTCTCTAACTTTATAAACTAAATTGGTGTTTGAATTGTTTTATTCTTTACTCTTATCAATTTGATGTATACCAAATTAACAGCTACACCAATGAGTTCTACTTTAAGTCCCGAAGCTGAATTCGCATATGGCGTTGGACAGATAAATCCTGTAAAGGCAACAAATCCTGGTTTGGTATATGATATTAGAGAATCAGACTACGCCAATTTTTTGTGCGGAGAAGGGTACACAGATAAACAACTACGAGTTCTTACTCAAGATAAGAGTAACTGCAAAGTGAAAGCTAATGAGAAAGCTGTATACAACTTGAATCTTCCATCATTTTCTCTTAAAATGAACCTTACATTTCTCGGTCATGTTTACCATAGAACGGTAACAAACGTGGGATCAGCAACATCTACTTATAAAGCAAGAGTAATATCTCCATCTTTGTTGGAAATTCAAGTGAAACCTAATGTTCTGTCTTTCACATCTATAGGACAGAAAAAATCATTCTCACTCATAATTGAAGGGAAAATCAATGTTGAAGTAATGTCTGCTTCTTTGATTTGGGATGATGGCAGTCATCAGGTTAGAAGCCCAATTGTTGTGTATGGGAAGTACGCGTGATTTTTCTGAGCTATTATGCATGTGATACAAGAAAATAATAGTGGCTTGTAAAGAAAGTTTTCATATCACATTCTTATGCATATTGAACTTTACAAAATTGTATGTAGTGTGAGTTGCTTGTTGCGTGTGTCGGTGCTTGTCTTCAATAAATTAAAGTTAATGCAAAAAACATGTCTTTTGAAACTCAACTCTCGCCCCGAAAGTTGATGCATTAGATTCATGGTTTTAAATTGCGGTTGTGGCTGTGAATGCAATTGCAATTGTGGGTGTTGCAATTGTGGTTATTGTAGATGTTGCGATGCGTATTGCAGCCTTTGCGGTGTGAATTTTTATAAGGAAGTGTTTGAAATACAAAGTTGAAAAATACTTAATGTTAAGTTTTTTCCTTGCATAATAAGTAAATTGAGTTTTAGGATTTTAATATTTTGATTTTAGATAAAAAAAATATATGAAAAAACATGATTGAAATTATCTAATGTGGTTTCAAACATAGTCGGAGGTGTAATTTAAAACCATGATCAGATTATATGTATATATTATTTAATTTTTTGCTTATCATGTTTTACTTGCCTACAATGTCTCAACTCAATAGTAAGAATTTGATTTTATAAAAAAATCTAAAAACTTGCTTATGATGAAGAGTTACCAGTCTCAAAATTAAAATGTTGTTTGTTTCAAGATTCTAATATGGGAAATCTGTGAGGAGTGTGTTTAGTCGAAACAGCACAAGAATAGCTCCAACAAGGATGCAGGAAGGAAGTCGAAGGCAATACTTGAAGTCATATACTTTGATGTATGTGGTCCAATCCACGTGGATTCGATTGGTGCCGATAGATACTTTGTCACGTTTATTGATGATTACAGTCGAAAATTGTGGACTTACCTCATCAAGAAGAAAAGTGATGTGATTGAGGTATTTTCCATATTCAAGTCCATGGTCGAAAGACAGAGTGGTCGAAAGCTGAAAATTCTGAGGACTGATGGTGGTGGAGAGTATATGTCGAAAGAGTTCGATACACTATGTGTAAAAGAAGGGATTGTGCATGAGGTGGTGCCACCCTAGACTCCACAGCAAAATGGGATTGCAGAACGCAAGAAAAGAACCATCATGAATATGGTGAGAAGTATGTTGAATGGAAAGCATCTACCCAAAGAATTATGGGGAGAAGCAGTTTCGACAACAACATATATATTGAACAGATGTCCGACGAAGAAGCTTGAAGGAATCACACCAGAAGAATGTTGGTCTGTGGTCAAGCCTAGTCTCAGTCACTTAAAGGTGTTTGGATCTATAGCATATAGACATGTGTCATATCAGTTGAGAAGGAAGCTTGATGATAAGTCGAATTAGATGATCTTGATAGGATATCATTCGACAGGAGGTTACAAGTTGTTCGACCCAATGAATAAACAGGTAGTGATCAGCAGGGACGCGATCATAGATGAGCTTAAAGAATGGGATTCGACTGAGAATGCCAAGAAGGATTCAGTGAGAATCCCTTGTGAAGAACCAGCCACTGAAGTCGAAATAGAAGTTCGACAGGAACCAGTTGCAGATGAAGCAGGTTCAAGCAGACCTCGACGAACAAGACACATGCCTGCAAGGTTGCAAGAATGTGTAATTATATCAGACGATGTAGTCGATGAAGAAGGTGAACTGGTACATTATGCTTTCTATGCAGATGTCGAACCAGTCAATGCAGCTGAGGCATTGAAAGATTCAAAGTGGGTGAAAGTAATGACTGAAGAGTTGGAGTCCATCAAAGTCAATGATACCTGGTCACTTGTCGAATTGTCGCAAGGCAAGAAGGCAATTTATGGGAAGTGGGTTTACAAGGTGAAGGTAAATCCTAAAGGATAAGTAACTCGACACAAGGCGAGACTTGTGGCGAAAGGATTTCTTCAGAAGGAAGGAATCGACTTCGATGAAGTGTTCGCACCTGTTGCTAGAATCGAAACAATCAGGTTGGTCTAGCAAATATGAACAACTAGCACACATGTCAGATGGATGTGAAGTGTGCATTCCTTAATGACCCCTTAGACGAAGAAGTTTATGTTGCACAACCAGCTGTGTTTGTGAAACAAGGCGAAGAAAGAAAGGTGTACAGATTTCATAAAGCCCTGTATGGACTTAAGCAAACACATCGAAATGAGGTTATGTTATCTTCGAGAGCAGGTAGCAGAATGGAAGATGAAGTTGGAACACTGCAGAACTGAGAATCAGATTGCAGATATCATGACGAAGGGAGTGCAGGTCGAAGCCTTCAGAAGACTAAGAGTCATGATGAATGTAGACAGTTTGGACACAATGAATTAGGTGGTGTGTTAAATATAATTCATAGTGTGTCAAAGTCGAAATAGCAAGGAAGCATTCGAAGTCTAAATCAAGTGTCGAAGTGTCGAAGTTTTCAGTGTGTCGAAACAGTTTGTTTTAACACAGATTTGTTTTGATGAGATTTGATATGATTTAGAACAGATTTCACAGTTGCAGAGTTTATCAAGTGAAAGTTCAATAGTAATCAGAAATCCCACAGTTTGTAGGTAACACAACTTTCTCCAAATATTTCTTCTTTCATTCTTCTCTTTCTTGCTGTTTGTTTGTTATTCTTATTCTCTTTTGTTGTTCTTGATAACTCTTTACTTGTTATCACTATTACTATCATATTGTGGGTTTGTTCATCAATCTTGAGATCAAGATTGAAGGAAATTCTTCATAGGGTGTGAGGTGAATTTCCAACAAAAATACTAATTAATTAAATAAAATACGAATAAATTTAATTGAATAATTTAATCAAATTTTGAGGTGTTACACAGAACGCCTTCGATAAACATTTTTGAACCAACATATCTTTAACCCTTCATTGCTATAAATTAAAATTGTCTGTTCCGTCAAATCAAGTCACTTTGAATTTCTCACCTTCAAGATTAAACATCATCTAAATACATTTTATACGGTATCAAATAAATTGACTCGCATGTGGGCACAAAAATCTTACTAATTCTTATGAAAAAAGTCTTCCACATTTTACATGTTTTTTCCACAGCAATTCACTTTAAGAATTTTATTTATTTATTTAATAAAACTTATATTGTCTACATGGGTGAGCATCCCCAGGACACTGGCCCGGCCACTTTCCCTTCATTCCAAATGGCTCAAAATGTCCTTGGCAGGTTCAAATTATTATCTCTTTTCTTTAGTTATCTGTGATTGGTTATACGACTTTTCTTTATCAAAACATGAACACCTTTTTTATAAAAAACACTTGATATAATTACTTTTCAGAATTAGTGCTATGGTCTAGTATTGTGCTTGGGTTAGTATATTTTCAAAAATAATATTTGCTCCTTAAAAAAGCTAAACTTTCTAAAGCTTGTCATTATACTAAAATCTGGTTTTTCTCTTCTTTTTCTTTTTCTTTTCAAATGTTCTTTAAAAAAGTTAAATAAAATTCCATTGTTTTGTAACCTATGGGTCCCTTGGGCGTCAAGCTTCACATTCTTCTACCATATAGACTCATTGAAGGGGAAATGGTTTAGTACTCTAAACCTTCTTTGCATCTCATTTCTATTCTCAGTAGCAAATATGAACTCTTTAAAGCCATTCCTACTTTTCCTTCTCACCTGCATTCTCATTCAACAAGCATGTTCCGATAAAGATCGCAAGGTAAATTTATACACACGCACATATATTCCTTCTAAGTGACTTAAATTTTACCCTTTAAGAATGAATAAGTGGGATGCCGTGGGTTCAATTCGTGCCTTGCATTTGATATTCCTATACAGTACAGCTACTGAATTGTCTTAACGGGACTATATACATTTTCTGAATACAGACTTACATAGTCTACATGGGTGCTCATCCTAAGGGCATGGATCCCACCACCTTACCTTCTCTTCACTCCAGAATAGCTCAAAATGTCCTTGGCAGGTTCAAATTATCCTCTCTTATATAATAATTTATGTTTGATAAAAAGACTACAGGACTAAGAAAGAGTATCTCAGTTGGTAAAAGACGAATATATTATGCAAAGGGGAAGGGAACGATTTCGCCTTTGGACAAAAGTTTTGATAAATTACATTATAATTCATTAAATCCAATAATATTGGTAAGATTAACAATTCAAATGTGTATCTATCTAGTGATTTTGAACCAGGAGCTGTACTTCACAGCTACAAAAAAAGCTTCAATGGATTCGTTGTGAAGTTGACCGAAGATGAGGCAGAAACATTGGCAGGTAATTTTTTTGATCTTATGTTTAATAAAACTAGTGTGTTTTTAATTTTTGATTTGTCCCTTACACAGTTATTTCCTTTTGTATTGCAATAGAAATGGACGATGTAGTATCGGTTTTTCCCAACACAAAGAATCTTCTTCACACGACAAAATCGTGGGACTTCATAGGCCTCCCACAAAATATCAAAAGACTGAGTTTGGAAAGTGACATAATAGTTGGAGTATTAGACACAGGAATTTGGCCAGAGTCAAAGAGCTTCAGTGATGAAGGATTTGGTCCACCACCAAAAAAATGGAAGGGGTCATGCCACAACATCACTTGCAACAAGTAATTAATCACTTAAATCCATTTACTTTGGTTGCTTTATGTTTAGTTTTCAAAAATAATCAAGAAATTGAAGAAAAAAAATGATGATTTACATTTTATATGTGCAGTAAAATAATTGGTGCAAGTTACTTCAATATTGAAGGAATATATGGTAAAAAGGATAAGAAATCCCCGAGAGATGTAAATGGCCATGGATCACATTGCGCATCCACGCTTGCTGGAAACATGGTTAGTTCTGTAAGCTTAGAAGGTTATGCCATCGGGACAGCACGTGGAGGAGTTCCTTCAGCTCGCATCGCTGTATACAAAGTGTGTTGGGAAGAAACTGGTTGCGACGAGGCTAATATCCTTGCAGCTTTTGATTCAGCAATTGCTGACGGGGTTGATGTTCTTTCTGTTTCTCTTGGACCAGGTCAAGTTACACCATTAACTCAATATTTTCAACACTCAATCAACATTGGAAGTTTCCATGCAATGCAAAGAGGTGTATTTACTTCGAATTCGGCTAATAATTTAGGCCCTGATCTTTTCACAATGACAAGCTACCCACCTTGGTTACTTTCTGTTGCTGCGAGCACTTTTGGTAGAAAATTCGTTACAAAGGTGCAGTTGGGAAATGGTAAAGTGTATGAGGTATGTTAAATAATCTTCCTATCTTAGCTACATTATATTTCAAAATTTTCAATACTTTTTTTACTTTCCTCTAATAAAATTTCAATCTAATATTCAGGGATCAACAATTAACACATTTGATCTCAAAAACAAAATGTTTCCAATAATTTTTGCAAGAGATATACCCAACACTGCTGCTGGATTTAACAGTTCTGTATCCAGGTATCATCAATACATATACTTCTCATGCCAGTTTTCTTTGATTTTTATATATTTTATAAGAATTTTAATTTTATAAATTTTATTTTCAGATTCTGCCACAAGGACTCTGTAGATGAACATGCAGTAAAGGGAAAGATAGTTTTATGCGAAGGCATACAGATTCCTACGGATATCGGGTTTTTCTCGGGTGCTGCTGGTGTAATATTTGGATATGTTTCTGCAAAAGATTTGCCAAATACATATGCTTTACCAGCCACACTCCTTAGTCTATGGAACTTTAGAGAAATACAATATTACATGAAATCAACAAGGTATAGATTTATATAATATTTATTAACTATGGAACCTATTTCATTAAATTTATCTTTCTATCAATTATCAGAAATCCAACCGCCACAATATTTAAGAGTGAAGAAGTCGAAGATTCGTTGTCCCCTTATGTAGCTTCATTTTCATCGAGAGGTCCAAATCCAATTACGCCGAATATTCTCAAGGTAACATAAAAAAGTATAGAAATCTGGACAATTTTTTTTTTCAACATGTAAAACGCAAACAAGATTCAATTATTTCTTGATGTTGCAGCCAGATATTGCTGCCCCGGGAGTTAATGTTATAGCCGCATGGACTCCACTCGACCCGATTTCTGAATTTGAAGATGACAAGAGAAGAGTACCATATCAAATTATCTCGGGAACTTCAATGGCATGCCCTCATGCAGTTGGAGCTGCAGCATACATTAAGTCATTTCATCCCAATTGGTCTCCTGCTATGATCAAGTCTGCCCTTATGACTACAGGTAATTTCACTAATAAACACATGAAGCGTTTATAATTGAGAAATTTATAGTTGCTGAAATCACTGAGAGAATCATTTTGTTATGTATACAAATTAACAGCTACACCAATGAGCCCTTCTATAAATCCTGAAGCTGAATTCGCATACGGTGCAGGGCTAATTAGTCCAGTTAAGGCAGCAAATCCAGGTTTAGTGTATGATATCAGTGAAGCAGATTATGTGGAGTTCTTGTGCGGAGAAGGATACACGGATAAACAACTACGAAATCTTACTCGTTATAAAAGTGATTGCAAGGGAAAAGCTAATGGGAAGGCTGTATACAAATTGAACCTCCCATCATTTGCACTTGTTGCAAACAACAAATTTTTCGGATATGTTTACCATAGAACAGTTACAAATGTGGGATCAGCAAAGTCTAGTTATAAAGCAAGAGTAATATCTTCTCCTTTGTTGGAAATTCAAGTGAAACCTGATGTTCTGTCTTTTACATCTATAGGACAGAAAAAATCATTCACGCTCACAATTGAAGGAGAAATCAATGTGGGAATAATATCTTCTTCTTTGATATGGGATGATGGTAATCATCAAGTTAGAAGCCCAATTGTAGTGTATAGGAAATAAGGAGTTATTAAGCCTAATAATAAGGTTTGCGTGTGTGTGACACAAGAAAATCAAGCTATGTTTAGTAATAGGACTTCTATGTAATGACTTTGGGCTTGTTTAATGTTAGTCACATAATGAGATTTAATCTTGGTCTCTTTTACTCCAACATTACATAGAAGTAATGTGGGACTTCGAACAAATTTCATTAACACAATTACAATTTCAACACCCACCCTCACGCCTAGCGTGGGCCTGAGACAAATGTTCACATTGCAGTTCTTAATCCAACTCTGATAGTATGTTAAATATGTTTGGATCTCAACGCGTAAAATTAGCTCATTCAAAGAGTGAGGTTGTCCTCACATATTTATACATCCAATAGACCGAAAATCTAAGCAATGTGGGACTCCAAACAAAATTCATTAACACAATTACAACTTCAACAATGTGAAGTGTGATCGTTGTCCGGACCAACACAAGTTATATGAAGACAATAAACTCAAGGATTTAAAACCCAAGAACTTCTTATTTCAAGCGATTGATCATTTGGTTATGAAAAAACTCTTGTCTGTGACATGGCCAAGAATATTTAGAATTGGTTTAATACTCTTTTGAGTCTTATATTTTAATTTTGAAATTCATTTTAGTCTCTTAACTTAAAAAAAAAATATATTAATCAATTAACTCTTCAAAAGTTATTATGTCAGTCATTTTCGTCTAATTAGGAACAAACTAAGTGACTGATTTTTATGTTTTTTCGTCACTAATTAGATAAAAATGACTAGCATACTACGTATTGAAGAGTTAGAGGATCAATATGGATATTTTGTAAGTTTATGGAGCAAAATACTACGACAAATAACATTTTTTATGACAAATATTTCACCTCGAACATGCTAAAATCGAGCGTATAGGTCATGGGAGCGACATGTTTGATTATTTTAAAAAAAACATTTTTCCTCAGTTTTAATATTGCTATAAGTGAGCGCCGGATTTTATTCATAAAAAAATAATAAACTTATTACCCCTGTGTTTTTGAAAACTAAGAGAGTATAGCTATAAGGGAACACACTTCAAATTCATGTAATTGCATTTAAGATATTTTTTTCAATGATTTCTCACTTGGCGCCTTCTAATTTTCCCTGTTTTCTTAGTTAATTTTTGTCATTTTTTTCTTGTTAATTAGTAAATATTTTCCTCCCAAGTAAATATTTTCGGTTGTTCTCTCTTGGATGCAGATTTGACACTAGAAGTTGATATAAAATTTTTTCATTTGGTCGTAGAGTAGCAGGACTGCTAACATTATCGTTGTTGGCATAAATTAGGCAAATGTGATTTTAGTAGGCATTGTTGAATATATAATGCTCAACACACCGACCTTCCTTTTCACAGTTTATTATCTGAGCAATAAGTGATTGAATAATTGTAATAGAAGAGTCATTAACATAAGACTGAATTGACTCTGCATCATGACCAGATGGCTCAACAGAGGCATTTAACCAAAATTCTTTAGCGAGATTAATGTAGATAGGTCCATGAAGAATGTCAAAGTAGGCATTCAACTTTTGTTTGCGAATAATTTTCCTTAGATCAAACTTTTGTCTTTCAAATCATCAAAATCAATAAAGTTTTCATTGATAACGAACAAAAGATTTTTATCTAAGGTTGTTGAAAATATTTTTGAAGAAAAGAAAAGACTTTGAAACTAGGTTTGAAGACATAGAGAGTAGGAAATGAGACGTTGAAACTAAGAATAGTATTTAAATAAAGTGGATAATAGGAAGTGAATCAATCAGAGAAGCTCAAACGTCTCCTTGAAAATCCAAAAGATACCTTACATTTTTTAATATGGATGACCATTGGTATTTTAGTGATATGATTCCAATGTGCGCCATGATTTTTTTTATAGAATAGAAACCACACATTACCTCGATTTTGGGACAGTCAACTTCTTATCTCGATTATTCAAAAAATTTGAGGGAAAAAACAATTCAGGATCCTTTTTTTATCATATAATTTTTTTGTAAACTAAATGATATATCATGACGGTTTTCTTAATAACTGAAGAATAAGATAATTATATTTTACTATAAAAGTACTCGTTAAACAGATTTTACCCTAATTCTAACTTATATGTAGCCGCTCCAAACTCGAATGCATCATTCTTTTGGGGTTCGAATCTATGTGTAAATTAATATACCCCTCGGTATTTAAAAAACCGAGGTGATAAACCTTTATTTTTCATGATACCCTTCCTTACCTCGTTACTGCAGCCAAGGTAAAATGTATTTCGCGTCCGACATTAAAAGAACTTTTTTAATAGTGAAATGAATTCCAAGATTAACATAAGGGACCAAAAAATATATTAAGACTTTTGAATTCAATAAACAAGAGGTATTAGGACTCCCTAAAGGTCAAGCAGACTCAATTTCCATCTTTGATGTGTGAATTTGTAGTTCTTTCTATATAGAATGTAGAATTAGTGAAGACTTACTTTAATCGAACTCTTGCATTCGTGAATCACATGAAGGCTCACGGGGGAGAAGATGAATCAAATTAATCTTGATTGGGAAGAAGATTATTAGTTCTAAGACTTCAATTATTACCTCTGTCAATTATTCAACTGAGGAATCCAATGATGTGACCACATTATTAATTAATGAATTGCAAGGTTTTATTTTATGGACTTCACATGTTTTGATGATGCCAAAGGAAATAAACAACCTTGATGGTGTTAAAGAGGAAAAAAAATTAAAATATCAAGAACATCATCATCATGTAAAGAAAAAAGATTAACTTAAAGCAAAAAAATAAGAAGTTTTTTATTATTAGTTTAAAATAAACAATCATTGAAGAATAACATCAGCAAATAGATGCATTTGCTAAAAGATTTCCATTTGATCATGTGCTAACAACTATAAATATTTATAGGATTTTGTTCTGGGTCGGCTAAAGACCAAAATGAAAGAGGCCCAAGTCATCTCAAATACACTCCACTTGACCTAAGGTATAAAATCAGTCCACGCAACATACAAGGTACATTCTCTGATCGCCATTTTTCAGCATACTTATCTTTAATCTTGAACTGGCTTGGGCGTTAGAGTGCTAACCATAGTGGTCACCATCGCACCAGTGTAATGGAGATCAACACCACCATTTCAAGACACTCAGTTCTCCAATTGCATCCATTTTTGGTTCCTAACGGAACAGTGGCGCCGTATGTGGAAATTGACTTCTGATTCCTACGATTTCATATCGAATATTTTATTTACCAGTTTGTAATTTCCTCAGGTCTCCGAGTTAAGAGCATTCGAAATCAAATTTCTAGATCCCTCGCAAAGATTTGTAACACTTGATTTAGTCATATAGTGTTTCGACTATGATTCATCAAATTTCTAGATCTCAGGTCACCTCGAGAACCCTGCGGAAAAAAGAAGGATATATCCTAGATCTAAGTCTAGATATGCAATGAAATTACCGGAAAATGAAGGTGATTTCCTCGGAGATTATGTCGAAGATTCATGGTCCATCTTCATATCTAGCTTCACTATTATCTCCCGCTGCTAACGTGATATTTCCAGTGGTGAGGTAGAAGATACGAAGAGTTCCTAGCTAATGACAGATGCAAATCTTATGCCATAGTACCTCCTATACATACCAAAGGATATCCAATTGTTGGATAGGGCCTCCTCAGACAGGATCAACTGTCTTCATTCCTTATCGCTTGTTTCATTTTTAGGGGATATTTGAAAATTGAAATTTACAAATCCTAGGAAACTTTTGAGTGAATAAAAGATGTGTTAATATGTTTATTACTTTAATGGATATTCGGTAGTGTAAATTGAAAATTTAAAAAAGGGCATTGTAGGAAAATTGGAGGGATATTTTCTTCTTAGGTAGTTAGTTGATGTTAAGAATGGAAAGGATTACTTTTGGCACACTAACTGCTACTCATGCACCCTTGTGAAAAACTAAAAATACCCTTAAAATTTAAATATGCATTTCTGAACTCACCCCATTGTTGCGGGGTGACAAATGACCACGAGCGCTCGTACGCTCGAGATGATAGAATTGCCACTGAACTTTATTTATTCCAAAAGGAAAGGGAAAATATCGATAAAATCCTTAAGAAAAAGAAAATGGTCATCGCAACCAAATTTGAGTTTGAGAGTCTATTATGTGGGGGGAAGTATTATCACCATTCACATCCGTTGTACTCAACTCGAAATATTTAGTTAGATTTGCGATTGAAATATTAGCTTATGTCATTTGTTTTCTATGAGTAGTCAAATTTGTAAAGAGAAAAGAAAAGGGGTCGCAAAAAGGTTTTTTATTAATGTGTTTGACAAGATTCTGGGTCTTACTCCTACGTATCTTTGCGTGCGATGGAGAACTCATGGCTACCACTAATACAAATAATACATTTCATGATAAAACTTTCACATCACTGTCATACCCTAAATTTGTCCTACCCATTTGTAAATATTTTCGCATTTTTATTTTGCATTTTTCATTTAATTTCATACCGCTTAGACACGTGTCCGTCCCGATTGGGCATTCTTCAAATCTCGACTTTTTTATCCAATAGGAGCGCGACACATGGCCTAAGGGTATTTTTTTTGTAAATTTTAATCCCATGTTTATTCTCTCATTTTTCTGTTCTAATATTTTATTTTGTATATGTTTTTATTTTAGCTTTTCATTTAGATAATCAATTTGTTTTTTATTATAATTTTAGAGTAGATTTTATTATATTAAATAGAAATAGTTTTTTATTTTTAGTTAGAATAGTTTTTATTTATTTATTTACTAACTTGTTAAAAATAGTTTTTTTTGGATTATAGATTTCATTAGATTTAAATAGTTTTTAGATATGAATTTTATTTTAGAGTTTTAATATTTAGCTAGTTCTTTAGTTTTAAAATTAATTAGATTTGATTTAATTTAGGACTATTTTAGGATTTTAAATTTAAATTAGTAATTTTAGAGATATTTTAGGATTTTAAATTTAAGTTAGT